AATTTGATAATTGCCTTTGTCATGCCAATTTACATATATTTTCACGTGTGGCAGGTTTGCAAACATGCATTTTCCTTCTCCCCTGTTTATGCTGAGAATGCTCCATCAAGGCTTCCTTTTCAGGAATTTATTTTTGGAATAGCAATGAAAGCTTGCCATGTCCTGCAATTCTTTTTGCGCCTCAGTTTTGTGCTCTCTGTTTGGCTCCTCATCATACCTTTCATTACATTTTGGATATGGCGGTTGGCTTTCGTGAGGAGTTTTGGGGAAGCCCAGAGATTATTCTTGAGTCATTTGTCTGCTACCGTTGTTCTTACTGATTGTCTTCATGGCTTCCTGCTTTCTGCTAGCATTGTATTTATATTTCTTGGAGCTACCTCCTTGAGAGATTACTTCAGACATTTACGGGAGCTTGGAGGTCAGGATGGTGAGCGAGAAGATGATGCAGATAGAAATGGTGCTCGTGCTTTCAGAAGACCTCCTGGACAAGCTAATAGAAATTTTGCTGGTGATGCAATTGGTGAAGATGCTGGTGGAGCCCCGGTACTTGGTGGGGCAGGTCAAATGATTAGGAGGAATGCAGAAAATGTTGCTGCTCGGTTGGAAATGCAGGCTGCTCGTCTTGAGGCTCATGTTGAACAGATGTTTGATGTGGAAGATGCTGATGGTGCGGAAGATGTTCCCTTTGATGAGCTGGTTGGCATGCAGGGGCCTGTGTTTCATTTAGTTGAAAATGCATTCACAGTTGAGTGTGCTGCACATCCTTTTTTAGATAATTGTTACAATGAAAGTTTACCGTTTAAATATTGTTTCATGTGTATATTTGTTCTTGAGTCATGAAAACTGCATGCATATAAATTGGCTTTTTGAGATGATATCTTGGCCTCCTTCATTCACCATGTTGTTGCTGGTATAACTTAAAATATCATTCAATTCTCATATTTTTCCATCGAATAAAGAATTAAGCATTACCTTGTAGTAATGTCTAATTGGTTCCAATTTTTTGCAGGTTTTGGCCAGCAATATGATATTTCTTGGTGTTGTTATCTTCGTGCCCTTTACGCTAGGTCGGATCATACTTCATTACGTATCATGGATTTTCTCTTCAGCCAGTGGTCCAGTTTTCTCGACAATGATGCCACTTACAGAGTCAGCTCTCTCCTTGGCTAATATTACATTGAAAAATGCATTGACAGCTGTTGCAAATTTGACATCAGATGGTAAAGAAAGTGGTCTACTCGATCAGGTTGCAGAAATGTTTAAAGTCAACTCCAGTACACTAAACAATGGCACAAACAACATTACTGCTCCACTGTCGGTGGATGTTTTGAAAGGGTTAGCTACTGCATCGAGGCTTTCTGATGTTACAACTCTTGCTGTAGGCTATATATTTATCTTTTCATTAGTTTTCTTCTATCTTGGCGCTGTTGCTTTGATTCGATACACACGGGGCGAGCCTTTGACAATGGGGAGGTTGTATGGCATTACATCTGTAGCCGAGGCCATCCCTTCTCTCCTTAGGCAGTTCATGGCTGCGATGAGGCATTTGATGACAATGGTTAAGGTTGCTTTCCTTCTGGTCATAGAACTTGGGGTATTCCCCTTGATGTGTGGCTGGTGGCTTGACGTTTGTACTGTAAAGATGTTTGGCAAGTCAATGGCTCAGCGTGTTCAGTTCTTTTCCGTTTCTCCTCTAGCAAGCTCATTGGTTCACTGGGCTGTTGGCATTGTGTATATGCTACAAATAAGTATATTTGTCAGCCTTCTTCGTGGGGTAGATATCCTGACTAATTTTGGTTAAATTTGTTTATCAATGATAGTTATGCCAGTTACTCATGTGTTGTCAACAATTTTATAGGTTTTGCGCAGTGGAGTTTTGTACTTCCTTCGTGATCCTGCAGATCCGAACTATAATCCTTTCCGAGATCTAATTGATGATCCTATGCACAAGCATGCTCGCCGTGTTCTACTATCTGTTGCAGTGTATGGAAGTTTAATTGTAATGCTGGTATTTTTACCTGTCAAACTTGCTATGAGGATGGTGCCCTCCATTTTTCCTCTTGATATATCGTAAGATTTCATAATACTCAAGCAGCGCTTATTTGTGATTGCTGCAGCCTAACTTTGAACTTGGAATTCTTTGGCAATGTTTTTATTTTCTTGACCATTTTTGTGGCAGGGTATCGGACCCCTTCACAGAGATTCCAGCTGACATGCTTCTCTTTCAAATCTGCATTCCTTTTGCTATAGAACATTTTAAATTGAGAACAACAATCAAATCCCTTCTCCGCTGCTGGTTTACTGTAGTTGGTTGGGCCCTTGGATTGACAGATTATTTACTTCCCAGAACTGAAGAAAATGTTGGCCAGGAAAATGGGAATGGAGAGCCTGGGTTGCAAGATCTGCAAGTGATACATCATCTAGGTGGTCCGGATCAGGCTCTGGTGGCTCATGCTGCAGCTAACGAGCCGAACCAAGTCGGTCCTGCATCTGGGAACTTGACTAACGAGGAGTACGATAATGAAGAGCAGTCTGATTCAGAGTAAGTTCCAATTCTTTCCTCCAAGCATGAACATCATTATTGTAGGAGAGTTGGGCACTGCAACTGCAGTCTTTTTCCTCTTTCTCATTTGTTTGGCATGAACTTCTCTTTTCTACTTAAAAACCTCGGTGAAGCCATTGTCAATTTTTAATTTACATCTTTTGAATAATTTCTCTGGGGTTGGGTTTTGTATGCTGTTTTGCCTATTTAGTATATTATCTCATCATATGGGCTAAGTCAGGCATGCTTAAACTTCTAATCTTTATTTACTTCAATTTTAGGAGGTATAGCTTTGCTCTCCGCATTGTCCTTTTGTTGGTTGTGGCATGGATGACTCTTCTTCTCTTCAACTCAGCACTGATAGTGGTACCAACTTCACTTGGACGGGCGCTCTTCAATGCTATTCCGCTTCTTCCCATCACACATGGTATCAAGTGTAATGGTGCGACTACTACAGAAATCATTTTCCACTATGTTTTTTCCTTGTACTCTGTCCGAAAATGCTAATTTGTTGTATATTTATTCTTTCCACAGATATGTATGCTTTTGTCATCGGGAGCTACGTTATCTGGACAGTCATAGCTGGTGCTAGATATACCATTGAATATGTCAGAGCAAGGAGAGTGACAGTTTTGTTGAGCCAGATATGGAAATGGTTTGCCATTGTCGTCAAGAGTTCTGCACTACTATCAATATGGGTAAGAATGGCTGTAAAAAATGGACCTGAAAAAAGAGGGAAACCTTACTTTCATATCAGTTTTGGGGGATTTCTTGATTCCATGATCTGACATATAGTTTTGGTTTTCAGATCTTTCTCATTCCAGTTCTGATTGGCTTGTTATTTGAGCTTCTGGTCATTGTGCCTATGCGAGTTCCAGTGGATGAAAACCCAGTTTTCCTCTTGTACCAGGACTGGGCATTGGGCTTAATTTTTCTTAAGATCTGGACTAGACTGGTGAGCGGGAATCAAAATTTGTAACCTACAATTCCACTTTCCTTTTCTGGTTGGTTGATATCAAAACTTATTATAATGATCTACCTTCATTTGAGCAGGTAATGTTAGATCATATGATACCACTGGTGGATGACAGTTGGAGAGTAAAGTTCGAACGAGTAAGAGAAGATGGCTTCTCCAGGCTTCAAGGACTCTGGGTTTTGCGGGAAATAGTCGTGCCAATTATAATGAAGCTACTGACAGCACTATGCGTACCTTACGTTCTAGCTAGAGGAGTATTTCCTGTGTTCGGGTACCCGCTGATCGTCAACTCGGCTGTTTATCGATTTGCTTGGATTGGATGCCTTTGTGTTAGCATGTTGTATTTCTGTGCTAAGAGATTTCACGTTTGGTTCTCCAACCTTCATAACTCCATTCGTGACGATCGTTATCTCATCGGTCGTCGACTCCATAACTTCGGTGAAGAAACTAGAGAAAAGCCAAGCGATGCAGCAGGGACTTCATCATCTAAGACGCAAAATGCTGGCCTTGCAGTGGGCGGTGAAGGATTGCGGCTGAGACGTGTTGGTAACTGAAATGATATGTATATTTATTTCAATGATTGGGTGTGTTAGATGGTTTTGAGGCCCCGAAGTGGGGTATAGTCAGTTTTTTGATATGTGCATATTCTGTCTGTTTAACATCGTAGCTAGAAAGTGAATGAATGGAAATGTATGGATCTTATGTCTATAAAGTTTCAAATACAGGGCACTTCTGAAGCTCGTGTAAGCAGTCTCTCTCTATATATATATATTGCAGGTTGAGACTAAATGAGAAAAAGATTTTTTTTTTTTTTTTTTTTACCAAGTTGGGAAGTGAGGTCCACTTAAAAAGGGAGGAGGTTTCTCATTATTTTGGCTAATTAGACTTAGGGTCAAATACACTTCTTAGCTGGTTAAGTAGATTTTAGAATCTTGTTACGATCGCACTTTGGATGACAGCAGACCTATGATTATGCGGCATTCATTCTTTAGTAAGAAGTGAGTTAAAGCCAGTTCATTCTTGCGTCTCCTACGGTCAAATGGCTATGCTTGAGCTTTTGGCCTCTGTTCAAGAAGAAAGTTTTAGAAAACGGGGACAAAGAGATTTCGAAAGAGAGTAATTCTAATTCATTCTAATTCTAACTCCCATAATTACTATCCTCTAATTCGATCGAACTGAAAAACTAAATAACTAAAGTTTGAATTAATTCTAACTCCCATAATTACTATAAATTTGAGTTCCCCAAGTCAATAGACATTAATAGTAAAGAAATTATTCAATAAATCAAGCATCAAAGAGTTGTAATAGCTCCTACCTAAGTCAATCGACATCAATGGTAAAGAAGGTATTCAACAAATCATTTATTATTTTTTTAAGATATGAGGACTAAATTATTGAAAATTAACCTCTAAAATGCAAAGTATATTACCCATTTTTAAAAACGTAGCAATCATAAAGAGAGAGTTTAGACATTCAATATAATTCATAAAAGGTAAGCATTTGAAGTGTTAATGATAGCAAAATGCATCATAACAGAACTTAGAATAGGTTCCCACAAACATCGCCAGAAGTAGAAATCACTCGGTTCGAACGAAAGTAGTTGATAAACTTTAAGGTATCAAACAAAATAGAAGCATCAAGCAAAAGGATCATGAAAAGCAGGCGGGGGGACAAAGCAGGCTGCATTCAGATTAGGCATCAAGGTTGTCACTCAGGGACAGTGAAGCCAATTGATCAGCTGCTGGATTGCCTGTCTGCTGACCCACGGTTCTCAAAACCTCCATAGCCTCCGCCACCTTGGCTTTCAGAGCCTCCGGCGACTCGAGCAAGTGCAGAACCTCAGTTTGGTCCATTTCCAGTAGCATTCCGGTCACCTTTGCTGCATTATCAACCTCTAGCTGTTCCACGAGTGGATACAGATTTTCCCCCAGCATCTGAAACAACCATACAAGTTATATGAATATCAGCAGGCTTGGAATCATTTCCTAGTTTCTATGTTCCTGCATTTTGCAGTATGAGTAAACGCAAGGCCAAATAACCACACGGATAAATTAGTAGCACCGTAAACTCTACCGTTCGTTGATGGTCTGGAGCTGCATTTGCGAGGGCAGAAGCCAAAGCACCAACAGGAATTGGTTGAGGGTGAACAGTATCCCGTGGGGGCATACCACCCATCTCGTATGGAACAGAGAACATACCTCCCGCAACTCCAGGCATGGGAAGATCAGGCATTCCACGTCCAGGAGGATAACGGTACACACGTCCTCGTGGGAGCATCTTTCGGGTAAACAAACATATGCCATTAGTGTGTCAACTAGAAATATCAATCATAGTCATGGGTAAACACGAAGGCAGAAAAAACAATAGAAACCTGCTGCTGCATCATTGGACCGGGCTGCTGGGTTTGCTGAATGGCACCAGCACGTCTGCCACCAGATCTTTGCCCTTGCTGGCCCGGCTGAACCATTGGTACAAAGAAATTTGGCATGGGACCTCCACCAGGCCTCATTCCAGGCATGAGTTGCTGCTGATAACCAAAGCCAGGCTGCAAGAATTCATAGTATGGTTTAAATGCAGTCACAATTTACAACCCCTTCCATGAAGAACAAGAGATGTCGAAAAGAAAAGAAAATCATTTTATATGCAAACCACAATGATCCAGGTTACTTTTTCCGAAGAGAAAAAGAAAGAAGTTACCTGTGAGGAAATAATAGCAGGCGGAGCTTGTCCATAGAATATTTGTTGTCCGATACCCGGAGCACCTGGAGGATACATTGGCATGCCACGAGGTGCAACTGAAGATGCCATTGCCATTGGCTGCAATTGGGAAAACTGTGCCTGAGATGCACATATACGAAGTACAGTCAATGTCAAACAAAAGAGGAAGTGGATAAACAAATATTAGCAGACATTTTAATATTGGAAAACGAGAAACAGCAGTAGCATCCACGCTTCAAAACATAATAATTAGTACAAACATACCTGCAACCTCGCTCTCCTATCTTCCTTCCTCTGCGCGAGTGCAACATAGAGAGGTTTGCTCACAATTATTCTTCCATTCATCTCTCCAAGCTATCAGGTGACAGAAATAGATAATAAAAATCTTGTAGCAAATTAACCGTAATACGACAGTCAGCCGAATAACAAGCATCGTCTAAACAATATTCTTGTGCACAATAATGTAACTCACAGCTCTAGCAGCTTCTTCAGGAGTTGAGAATGCAACAAATCCAGAACCTCTGCTCACTCCGTTAGGGTCTCGCATAACCTACAGGCATGTAAAGTATTAAATCATCTGTTAATACTCAACTGGAGAGTGTAAGATTACAAAACATATATAGTCCTTACAACCTTGTATGAGGTAATGGTTCCAAACGCAGAGAATAACTCCTTCAGTTTATCATCGTCAATGCTATCATCTAAATTCTTAACATATAGGTTTGTACCTTGATACTTGTCAGCAGCTTCTTTTACACTCTGCTCAAACCGATTTTTCAATTCAACTTCCCTTTCAGATTTCTTCTGGGCTTTTCCAACATACCACTCTTTCCCATCAACCTTCTTTCCATTAAGTTCTTCAACAGACCTCGCAGCATCGTCCGCATTCTCAAAGTTTACAAAGCCAAAGCATTTGGATTTTCCATCCCCATCCCTCATCACCACAACACTGGTTATTGGTCCAAACTCCTCAAACATATTCTGTAAATCTTCATCAGATGTAGTTTCCGACAGATTCTTAACAAAAACATTATTAAACTTTGTTTTCTCACTGACACTTTCTCGTTCTTGCTTGCGAACAAAAGGTCCCACAAACACCTGCTTGTCATTTAGCAGCATTCCATTCAACTTCTCTATGGCTTTTAAGGCAGCTTCCTCCTTATCAAATTGCACAAAACCAAAGCCTTTAGACTGCCCGGATGCATCCGTAGCAACCTTGCAGGATAAAATGCTTCCAAATGCAGAAAATGTATCATGCAACGCTTTGTGATCAATTGCCTTGTCCAAATTCTATCGTTTAAGAGCAGCATTAAGTCAAAACATCCAGCAATCAAGCCACTGAGACAAAGGAAAACAAAGCTCTTGCTACAAAAGTACTTACCTTGATAAAAATATTTCCAGACCCACTTTTCCGCACGCTAGGGTCACGATGCGAAAACATAACCCTTATAGGATTTCCATTCAAAGGGGTGAAGTTTAGCGCATCTAATGCCCTTGTTGCTGTCATGAAGTCCGGGAAAAAGATATAATCAAACATAATTCTTCAGACGATAGATAACAAAATCAAGCAAAAGTTGATGGCATGATAGCATTGATCAAACTACAAACAGGAAAACTTCTATTCCCATCAACATATCACAATAACCTAAGAACGGCTCAAATTAAAATTCACGGAGAGGTGAAGAAAACAAAAAGATAAAAGAACAAAATGATCAGCCATCGCATTTCTTAATAACTACAAGAATCCTCAAGAATATAAAATGAAAAATCAAAACCAACAGACAATATTCTGGAGCTGTTTCCTCATATGTGAATGAAATTAAGACATCATCAAGCCAACAAAAACAAATATGCACAGTTTTTCCAAAAATGAAGCAATAAGATGTCCTAATTCCTAGAACGTGAAGGGGCCTGAAAAAAACACTCAATGATTACAGAAAAAACTCCAGCGAAGACCCAATATAGCGACATGTATATTTGGAGGACCTAAAATGAACAAAAATTAAGCCCTAAAGATTAAAAGGCAGGCATAGACTAACCATCCACAGGGCTGCTGTAATTGACATAGCCATAACCAAGCGATCGGCGGGTCGTCAAATCCCTGCAAACCCTAACAGAAACAACCTGCCCCACCTGATTAAAAAGATCATAGAGCTGCGAATCGGTGACATTCACGTCAAGATCTCCAACATACAACGACGTCGTGACATGCTGTCCATTGGCCGCTGGATCGGCACCGGGAACTTGAGGTGGAGATGGAACCTGAGCCATTCTGAGAAAACTCGGTGTCGTTTGGATGCTTTTCTTTTCAGTTTTCAAGTTTTTAAAATTTTTTTGATCTTTGACTCGCTTCCCTCTCCTCTATTATTCAGAATCGGAAAATATAAGGACGGCGGAGGATAATCCTACAGGACGACGAAATGAAATGGATAGTAAGAACGACGACGACGACGAAGAACAAGAATGGTGTGTGTGTTTTTTTTTCTTTTACGAATTTGGGTAGAAAACCTAACAACAAAAGTTTAGTTTTTTTTTTGGGGGGGGGTTTGTTGTGCAGGCGAAATAATAGTGGAGGAGAGGGAAGGATAAAGAAGGGATAGATGGTCGGAGTCCGAGATCCGACGGCGGAGATGAAGACGGAGATTGTTTCAGAGGGATGAATTGGAGGGCAGCTGAAACTGCACTGAAGAAAGAAAAAAGGGTTTTCCATGGTTGTGGGACTTATATATGTCGGTTGGATTTGGGTAAAAACCCTAAATCGGACATCAGATTCCACCGTGGATAATCACGGTTTTTTTCTTTTTATTATTATTTTTATTTTCAATGGATGAGAGGCTTTAAATGTAAATTCCTTTTTTGATAAGGTACTTCCTTCGATCGCTTTTTTTTCTTTTTTTTTTTTATTTTTTATTTTAAATGGGTTCTCGTAAATTCATATTAAGAATGTACCGAGTTGGATTGAGTCAGGTTAGAGATTTTTGTTTGATATTAAACTAGTGAAAGATTCATGTACTTATACAATAATTGAATAGATACGAGAGTTGCATTCATTTGATAGATCCGTGTTTAAAATTATTTAGGTCTTAAAAAAAACTTATATACCTCTCATTTTTTTATTAAATTTAAAGGAATCTGCCCACGTCCAAGCCTGAGGTTCGAAATCCGAGCCAAAATTTGAGCCTAAGTCTCAATGGACCGCAAACCCGAACCTCAGACTTATGTCCGAACCAAGTAGGTTTGGAACCGTCAAGTAGGCCGCAGCCGACTGGTGATCAACCCAGATCCAACTCCAGTCGGCCCACGGATGTTGCAGCCTAGCGATCTTAGTCGCGGGTCGATCCAGCAAGTGTCTGGCCCACGAGCGCGTCCTTTGGCCCAGTAGGCGGCCCGACCCAGCAGCCTCACAACCCGCGTGCTGGACCCGACGGTAGCCCGACCCAGATGTGACCCGCGTGCATGTCCTGACCGCGTGATACGTGTCTGTACCCGCACGCCCGACCCGACCCGACGTTGCGACCCACGTCCCTTTCTAAACTGCTTTGAGTCCTTCTCTACCATGTTTGACATTTAAATACGTATTTTTTGGCCCAATTAAAGTATTATAAATTAATTAGAGGTTTAATTGTGAAGCTTAGATAAATTAAATCGTTTAATGTGTTCTAATCCAGTGTTGTAAATATGCATAGGTTGACGTGATTTCAAGGGATAAATTTGGACTAAATCCAAAGATAAACTATCACCCCAATTTAAGCTATTCAGATAAGTGGTCTTTATCGTTGGTTTGGTTGGGGCACCATGACGATTGAGGGGGAGTAGAGAGAGATTCCTCTCCATTAACTAAACGTAGCTAGAGACATAAATTATATTGTTCATCTTCGTCCACATCCTACCTCATCTATATATTAAGACTTCTCTCGTTAACTAAACATGGTCGGAGATTATAAATTATATTGTTCACTTTGCTCACATAACCTATAGATCAAATCAAAAAAGGTACGCCAAAAAGCATAAGAATCAAATTGCAAATTAACTCATTTTTATTTTATTACGAGTTGGATTAAAAAAATCTTTTCGACCATCTCGAATAGAGAATAAATTTCACAACTCAATCCAACCATCTATCTATTTTGTAATTGAGTTGGGTTGGATTGTTGAATGGTTCTTTTTTTTTTTTAATTATTTTAAAAAAGTCTTGCTTTTTTACCATAAATGTTATATTAATATTTAAAATCTCATAAATTTTTGTGATTGGATTGTAAACTTAATTTGAGAATTGACTTAAATTTTTAATTTTTAATAATTCAAACCAACTCAAACCGAAAAAATATATATAATTCAACCTAACTTTTATGGTTTGGGTTGAGTGAGTTCTGGAGTCATTTGAACACTCTTAATTAGTTATTTTATGAAACTAAAATTGGAAAGAAGGAAAAAAGAAAATTCTCCTCTTCTAGAGTTCTCTATTTAGTTTGCTTTCTTATGAATTGAAATTGCTTTTTTCTTATTTATTAATATGATAGCGATGTTGAATCGAAATTCAATTTATATTAATTAAAAATTTTCAATTTTATAAATTAGTTAAAATATATATTATCGAGCGTTATAAATATATATAATATATATTTAAAAAAGATATTATCTAAATTATTTTTAAAAAGCATGAGATATATTTAGTTAATTAGTTGGAATGATTTTTGTTCTCATAAAAATCAAGGGAGAGAAGCGTGTGGGCCAAAACTCCGTAACGCGCGCGTGAGAAGTCAAACAAGAACTGCTACAGGCGACAACGTGGCATAATCGTGATCGTTGATTTTAAGCTCATAAGAAAGCAAATTAGTATCAGAATTCCATCCCCGTTTCCGATTCCGTTGTCAAACGGTCCCCACCATTCCCCCCCCCCCCCCCCCTCCTCTGTTCTCTATAAATTCAAATTAAATTTTGCTTACAACTCAAGAAGATGGCCTCAATTTCCACGCCCTCCTCTGTTCTTCCTAATTCACGATCATTCCGGCAGACGCAATCCCGGGCGGGCTTGACCGGCGGCGGATATATTTCATCGCCGTCGAGTCGGTTTGGGCCTCGGACGGTGGGCATGGCAGTATCTAGGCGCGATGTGGGGAGTTCTGCGGCGGTATGACTGAATTGATGCTGTCTGGTTTTAGGCGTTTGAATTAAGAAATGGGGAATTGAATTAGTTTGTTGTGTGTATGGTTTTTCAGTATAGGGTTGGGGATTTTATGACCAAGAAGGGGAATCTGCAGGTCCTGAAGCCTTCTACCACTGTTGATCAAGGTATTTTAAATATTATAATTCGGGTTAAATTATAGTTATGTGTTTATTTATTCTAGTACCTAGAATTCCATTTTTAATCTTTAAAATTTAAATTTTGTAAATAAAATGAAATTCTAGGTATGTTTATCTAATGCTTATTATTTGAAGCTAAACTTGTAATTTAAACTCAATTTTAATATTATTATTTTATTTTAATAAAGATAATGGATGAAATATTGACTATTTATTTTTAAAATGATATTTAGTTAAATTTATAAAAATATTTTCAAAAATATGGGTAGATTTTCAAAAAGATTAAATGAAAGTTAGTTTTTGGATAGAAATGGTTAATATTTTATTTCAAAAATATGTTTTTTTTTTAATTTATAAATAAAAGTTTTTTTAAAAAAAATTATTGTCAATATACGTCACCTCATAAATTATCTACCAAATTTTTAATTTTACTCTTAAATGTATGTGAGTAATTAAAGGATATTTTTGAAACATTCTTAAAGATATTTTTCTAAAAAAAATATTAACGGTTTCGTGTAAGATATTTTTGAACATTTTTTTAAAAAAATTTAAATGTATTTATTAGATTTTTTTAGTTTAAAAATATTATTATAATTTTTGAAAGTTTAAATGTATTTTTTAGACAAAAATACAAAATTAATTTAGCCAATAATATTTAATGTGTTATATTCAAATGGAATGAAAGGTAAAAATGTTTGATTAATCCACCGTTTTAGTGTGAAAGTTATCTTATTTATAATTAAATAAATGAAAAGAATATGAAAATAGTAATAAATTGAAATAAAAATAAATTTATTGTATTTGTTTGTATTTGAATTTGGGCATGAGTTGTAAAATAAAGTGTGTATTGAAACAGCCTTGGAGGTTCTGGTGGAGAAGAGTCTATCTGGATTTCCTGTAATTGACGACGACTGGAAATTGGTGAACTTCTTTTTACATTAAAAGTTAAGTTATAATGTAATGAATGGGGAATAATCTTAGTATTTATTCTTAAAAATTCCATTCCAGGTCGGTGTTGTCTCAGATTACGACTTACTAGCTCTACACGCAATTTCAGGTTGGTGTTTAATTTCATACCAATTCTTTTTCTATATGGTTCCAAATGCTATGATATTGTCCACTTTCAGTATAAACTCTCGTTGATTGAATATTGGTTTGTGATAGGTGTGGGCGGTGGTGGTGGGGAGACGAATATATTCCCAGATGTGAACAGTAGCTGGAAAGTAAGCCCACAAAATCTTCATTCATTCTCTTTTAAGTCATAAAAAAAGAAAGGTCTTTGTTTAAAAAACTCGAACATATATATATATATATGGGCAGAGGTTCAAGGAGATACAGAAGTTGTTGAGCAAGACCAACGGGGAAGTTGTAGCAGATTTGATGACGCCCGCTCCATTGGTTGTTCGTGAAGCTACGAACTTGGAAAGTGCTGCCAGGTGCGTGTTCCTATCCTAATATATTTATTATAGTGTACGCGTCCGTGCTCATCATCATTATAAATCTGTAGGGTGTTGCTTGAAACAAAGCTACATCGTTTGCCCGTGGTAGACCGCGATGGGAAGCTGGTAAGGCCAATATGTTTGCCTCTTACACTTACTTTCTGTTCTTCATCCTTGAACGCTAGCCAAATAATGTTGTTTGTGTTGGTTTTTGGAAGGTGGGGGTTATCACAAGAGAAGACATAGTTAGAGCTGGGCTGCACATCAAGCGCACTCACCAGAGTTAATATGGCTGCAGCTTTTGTTACAGATTATGCATTATGTTGCTATATTTTTTGTGCCTATACCAATTTTGACTCTCATTCGTTTACCCATTTTGACACAATTTCGTTGAATATGATTATGAGATCGTTGGAGTTAAATAGGTGGGGAAGTAACTTAGAGAAGCATGTGACACAATATTTGTCTCATTTATTTTGGTTGGAGAAATTATGTTTTGCAATTAAATTTGTTACTACTATAGTTTTGATACGTCGGAGTCCCGAGAAAAAGAAGAAAATAAATTACTACCCGAAAGTAAAATGTTCATATCTAGTATCATTACGTAATAATAGAGATAATCGTGAGATTCTCAATTTATGGTGTTATCATCTCATAATTTAGTGCAACTTATTTTTAGTTTGAATTAATTATGGAATATATGATATTCGTAATCATTTAATATTTGAAGAATATATTTGTTAGTTGAAATATATATTTAATATTCAGTTAAATTTGATTAATAGTATATTTTATTTTATTCTGATTTAGTTAGTTTATATTTTTGTTGTTGGTAGGTATTAGTTAGTATCTTTATCCTATTTTTCTCATTTAGTTAGTTTATATTTTCTTGGTGGGTAGATGTTTGTTAGTATCTTGTATCCTATTTAAAAGTTGTGAATATCAACGAAGATTGAACTTCGATCTCAATTCTATTTCTCATTCTTAACTCCTATTCTTTCGTTCAGTAATAATATTTTCATATCTATTCACACTTTTGAGTGGTAGATATTGTGTCATATCATAGTGTGATATCCCACATTGGTTGGGGAGGGGAACGAAACACGTAAAGTGTGTGAAAAGCTTTCCATAGTAGACGCATTTTAAAACCTTTAGTAAAAGCTCGAAAGGGAAATCCCAAAAAGGATAATATCTGCTTTTTCCAAGCACAAGCGTCTTAAAGTCTTGAGGGGAAGCCCGAAAGGAAAAGCCCAATGTAATGACCCAAAATTTTCTACTTCATTTAAAGTCTATACGTACCATAAATATTGAATATGGAAGGCTTCCCTTAAATTCCATAAAACATCACCTTTATCTTAAAACATAGCCATGGACTTCCATGTTTCAAAAACATGTTTAAAATGACACAACAAAAGACCCAAAATAAAATAAATAAGCGTTTAAGTTTAAAACATCCTATTCTATCCTAAGTCTAAGAAAATAAATACCACTATCTTATGGATGTGCCGTGATCTCGAGTTGCGATGTCGTCGTCAGCTGTACAGGAATGCCTTGCCTTAACCTGAAAAATGTAATAGCACATGGCTTAAGTATTTAAAGAAATACTCATGACCCCACTATTGGGGTTAAATGCAACAATCACATGCAATGAAATGAAGGGACCTATCTTTCGTTTCGTTTCGTTTTCCCTACGGTGCTGTCCTGACAGGTAATCGTGGACGTGTACCATATACTCTACACGCAGCCCATACGTGTGACTATGGGCTCACCAGCTAGTTCGCACACAGCTGGGCCACTGTCCCTAGTCGGTGGGCATACTCTGGGAGCCCCTTATACTGGGACCCGTTAAAACTAGAACCGTCACGGCAGCGCTATGCAAAGCATAACGATCGTTGTCCTGCCATTGGATGTACGCCTTCGTACCCTCGTGATGGGATAGGGGTATCCCCCCAAATGCATGAACACACAATATGCTTGAGGTCCCACTAGTTCTACAGTTATCATTAATGAACATAACCCCCTGTCACATTTTCATGCTGACAAGTCATTCTCATTTCTTTACATATCATACATATTCCTAGCAGGGTTATGTTTCATGCAATTTACCGTATTTCATGTCATACAATTCATGCAGTTACATTTAAATATTCGTACAAACAAGTCATCATCGTTCAATGACCCCACATCGTCACATGCATAACATATCAGATCATACTAAAAGCATACATAGCATACATCCACGTTCACATAACTACGTACTTAAGCACAATAATCTAGCATACAATGTACTATATCATAAACAAGTCATAACGTAAATACTTCATAGTCATATCGTTCTCTAACTTACCATAACGCTATCGTTCTATCAATCTATCACAAACCTATCCCTTTCTACCCATAACCTAACCGTATTCTTTCATCAATCTCTCCTATCCATAGCACCGGTATGTAACCTAACCTTAACGTTTCATGAACGTATCTTACTTCTATCGTTACATTTCGTTTTGTGCATCCTTCCCGTATCCTATCTCAAACATATCCTTGAACACATCGTACCATAATTATTATCATACAAACCACATATAATAACATAACATAACATATAGAAAGCATATCGATCCACAGACAATTCACGCATATCAATATATATGACATGTGTAGAACCATAGGGCACGTGTCAACATCAAAATAACCATGCCGATAGTAAGGTCACTTACCTGGCTAGCTTAAGCCGTTGTCACGAATATATCTTTAATGAAAGTTCGATTCCGTCCTTTGAAATCCGAGTCAACCTATATGAGCCCATGACATTAGTTTCGGGTTTGAATTCTACCGTATTATTTCTCTAATTTACATTTGTCCATTTTTATAACTATAATTTGTTGTGATTTCTAAAAAATAGGATAAAAGAAAATGAAGATTTAATATATAGATCAGATCTATCTTCACGTAAATCTTCGGTGAATCTTACATGGATAAAAGCTATTCTTTTTTTTTCTCCTTAAATCTGAAGATTATATATATATATATATATATATATTTGTAGTAACTCTTACTTTTATAGATAGGTTAATGAAAGATAATTGTGGGAAGGGATGAGAGGTTAGCGGGGGAAATGTTGTTTTTATTTATTTATTATTATTTTAACTACTTTTTATAATTATTTTTATTTGTTTATTTATTTTTTTACTATTACACTCAAAGAAAACCATATTTGCCAGGGGTGGTGGGTTTGGGCCCTTACACATAGTCTGGTTAGTATGAATGTCATTATCACTCGCCTTGCATGATTGGAGTTACTACTGACATTTGACTTGAAAAATTTACTAATACAACGGAAGAGGTTCATAGGCTCTAGACAGAAACAAGTATCTAGGTTGAGCTTATTACAACAAATAATTGTTCCCATTAAGTCATAACACTAAAAAAAAACCATGTCCATGAGATCTCACGTTGGTTGAAGAGAAGAACGAAACATTTTTTATAAGGGGGTGGAAACCTCTCACGAGCAGACTCATTTTAAAAACTTTGAGGAAAAATTTGAAAGAAAAAGTCCAAAAAAGACAATATCTGTGGGTTTAAGCCATTACAGTGACTCTAAACCAATTTCTCCCAGAATAGATGTCTTCATCCACAGACGACTAGAGCGACTATAACAAAGCTATTCACTAGGAAGCTCTATGATATACTAATTAGAGTGTAGGTAGCAAGAACTCGACTTGTGATAAGAAAGAAGTGAAGTCTATGTGATTTATTTCCACTTTTTATTGGAAGTCCGCATTCAAAGTTAACTACTCAGTGATATCAATTAATAGAATCATGGCAATAATCAAATTGATTTAAACTAACTCATTCCCACAATTGTATGATCCTAACATCATACCTCGTCAAAAGTGACATGAGTACTAATTATGGTGGACACCAATCTTCGTTACTCTCAAATAATGTTAAGATTCAGGTGTCAATAAAAGAAAAAGTTTTTGCATCACTAATCACATTCTATATTTCACTTCAACCTTTTTAATTCCTCGGTGAGCTGAATTAGGAAAGAGTTTGATTGTTGGGATCAAATCGGAATTACCCACAAATCTTTACCAAACTAAATGCGAAACAAATCTAATGGAACTGTGACACCTGTATGTGTATGTCTATGTAATGCTCCTAAAAAAGCAATTAATAGTTTGGGGAAAATCCAAATGCAATGTAAATGGTCGAAATTAAAAGATGATTTAGATGTATTTTGACCTTTTTTTTTTCTTTATTCTTCTTTTCCCCCTTGATTGCCTCTTTGAAATTTGTATCTCATTTTCAAACCCCATTTTGAGTGTTAATTGCGGATTTAGTGGAAACTTTTGAATTTCAATCCATCTTCCCTTCTTTTTAACAATGTCTTAAGCTATTAATTTTTTAAGATATCACATGATATGTCTCTTTCACTATACATTTCTTATTATATTCTTATATAGATGTTTAATATATAATAATGTTGTGTTAACTATGAAATTGTTCGAGGGTTTTGCTTATTAATGTGTGGGTAAATGTATGGTGAAGCCAATTTTAGTGGAGAACGACCATAGAGGAGTCGGTCGAAGCTTTGTTTGAAGTCGGAGATAATTTTCATTAGTAGCAAAATTGTTTCTATATAGTGGGTCATTTTGAACGAGAACAGTAGTAATTTGTTCTTCAACTTTCCTTAAGGATTCCAGTTAAAATTTGGCCAAAATATGTATGAAATAAGGGAGAAAATCAGGTCTAGAAACCGTAAATAACTGAAGAGGAGAGAGAAAGTCATTCCCTCTCGTGTCACTCTCGTGTTGTGAGGCTATTAGGACCGGGTCGAACCCTATTAGTTATCTATAGCAGTAAACAAACTCCACAATGCATGATAGTGAACTAAAGTTAGGATTGAAATGACAGACATCAAAGTTAAACACAACCTTATTAGTTGCCTCCAAGTAAGCAACATTATTGTCTTAGCCTTGAACTCACCCGTTAGTAAGTTTGAGACATTGCGGCAAGCATTAAGTGAGATTCATATTCTTGGGTTTAAGAGAAGTTAGAATAGCATGTAAAGATTTTAAGCTACAAGTACGTAAAGAACTTACAAACATGTCATTTATGGAGTATTTTTATACTCGTGCTTGCTACTTTTATTTTTCGGATGATAGTAAAGCTGCACGACTATGGTGATGGTAAACTCGAGGTATGAGGCTTTAGAGTTGTTTAGATAGATTCATGTAGAATTTTAAAAAGTAAGTTGTATGTAGAAGTACTTTTTATGATGTAGTTTTGAGAACGTTTTTGTTTGAGAGACTTTTTTTATAAATAGTTTTGTAAGTGTAATAAAAACATGTTCGGTTTTGTAACTCTTGATTTCTATTTTAAACTTCACTCCATGACCGCTACAATTTTAAGAATTTTACAATTTCACAAATAACTCCCTACATTTTTTTTCTTCGAAATTTAAAATTTGGAGTGTTTTGAGTGTAAGCTCAATGTCAATGGTATGTTTGTAGTGCAAGTTTCGACAACTTGAGCCGAGAAAAATGGTAAAGTGAGTTCATGGGAGGTAGCTTTCAAATACTACAGAAACTAAGTAGGTTTGTTTAACGAACCCGGAAAGCCATATGAATTCGACAATTTTAAGCTATATTCAAATTCTCATCCTAAATTCATCGACCATAATAAACCCTAAAAATAATATAAATTTTTATTACAATATATAGAATTTTTTTTTTTGAATATTTAGCCACCATAAATAAATAAATAAATAAATAAATAACAAGAAATTAATTATATTTATAAAAAAAAAATGTGATGGGAGAGAGAGTAGGTGGGAAGTTCCCCACACCATTTAAGAGTGAAATGATGAAAGAGTGAATGGAGCCCTAAAAAGGCCCACTACAATGCTATAAATAAATATTATTAAATTAAAAAAAAATGTAATAATTTAACTTATTTATTTTTGTATTTTTTAATTAGTAATTATGAAATGATTGGATTATGTTATTTCTCAATTATTTTCCTTTTTTTGTGTATTTATGTCTATAACGCTTTTCTCGTTTATTTTATTTACGGGTTTTTTTAATGTGTCGGTCTCCTTTATTTTTTATTTTTCTTTCTTGATTTAAATATAATTTTATAGTTAAATTAATAAAATTCCTTCTAAATTCAAAGTTTCTATAATATTCTTAATAAGTTACAATAATATTTTAAAAGTAAAAATAAATAATTTTTTTTAAAAATTACCCATGAACTTTATTTAAAAAATATTCTTGTTTAAAAAAATACTTATAAAATTTTAAAAATAATATTAACATCCTTTAATTTTATAAAAAAAAAATTCAAAAAACAAAAATTAAATCGCCTATTGATACCTCATAGATTATCTACGAACGTTTTAATTTTATTTCGGAAAGTTCATGAGTATTTTTTGAAGGTGGTAATAACCGTAAAAGTATTTTTGAAGTTTTTAAAAAAAGATTAATAGATTAATGAAAGTGTTAAAAATTCAAGCATATTTTTTAAAACACTTTTTAAAGTTATAAAATATTTTTTAAACCATTTTGAAAATCGACACGTATTTTTTTTTAAAAATATTGATAGTCCGAGTATTTTTTATTTTTGTATAAAAAATTAAGAATATTACCTAAATTTTTTAAAGTTTATGAAGGTTTTTTTTTAAGATAATTTTATTTTTTTCACTTTTATCATTTTTTAATTTATCTTCAAATAGTCAAATCTAAATGATTTTATCCCATTGAAGAAAATAGCATAATTGACACTCCACTTTAAGTAATACGAAGACCGAGCTCCTTGAATGAAGTTGTCTTGTTTTTAGTGAAACACGAGCTATATGTAAGTTCATTAAATGCTAATAAGCTCTAACTCTCCGTACTACATCTTGAGCTTGTCATAAATAAAACTAAGGTCTATTCAATGCACCTCAATTTCGTTATTATCCTTCAAGGTATAATCTCAACATTTATCCAATAGCTTTTGTGGTAAAATATTTAATTAATTACTATGAATTAATAAAAATACTATAAATTAATAAGATTAAATTTATATATAAAATACTACAATAGTTTGATTACCATTCGCTGCTACGAGGAGGTTGGCAATAGACAGTAAATTATCAATTGTCGCCAATATATGATCAAAGTTGTTGCTCAAATGGTTGACGACAATCAATAATGTCACTAATAAGGAGCGGTATGATGATATAGTAAAGGATATTTTAGTCATTTTACCTGATTAAATACCTAAAATTTAAATCTTCAATGATGTAAAGAATTTGTTAATTAAAACTTGGTTTTTATAACTTTCTGAAAGTCAAAAGTAATAATTTCAAGTGAATTTACGATAATACCCTCTCTGCCAAAACTCCTTCCCTTGATTCCCGTATACTCGTTTGACTTTTACCATAATTTCATGCTTGTGTTACGCTTTTTGTCCCTTTTTTTCAAAACAAATTTGATTTTTAAATAATTATAATTTTAAAAAAATAAATTTGAATGGATAATGTCTGTTATTACTTAAGCAGTGAATTAGTTATATTAGTTTAGTTTATAGGGAAGGACGGTTGGTCTCATTTTTTTTGTTTTTAATAAACATATTGTTTTATTTATATCCAATTTTATTTTATGCATATATTGAATATTATTCGTTCGCCATATGTAAAACCAACAAATTTTATTATTAAATTATTTAAAAAATTAAAATTGACATTTAATCATATTATACATTCAATAATCAACATAAAATATAAGTACTATAAATTATTATTTATTTTTCTTAGTCAAATTTTATAAATTATTTTAATAATGAAACGTAAATATTTTGCGTTAAAAAAAAACATTTATTTATTTATTCCCACGTTCTCTCCATTGGTTTTAAATTCGGCACCCCTCAGCCTCACGCGCCATTCCAGTGAGTGTCTTGAGTGATTCCTCCACCGTCGTCTTCTCCGTCCAATCCCCGCCGCCATGAAATCCACCGCCAACGCTAAGCTCATTCTCCTCCACGCTCCGACCGCCGGCAACGCCCTCACACCCCGCCGCTGGCTCTTCTCCTTAATCACTTTCTTCACACTCGCCTTCACTCTCACCCTCATCAACTCCACCTTCTCCTCCTCCGCCGCCGCCGCCCGTCGAAACGGCGATGGAATCTCCGGCGCCGGCACCGGCGTCCTCCCCCACTCTGTTTCTACTGCCCTCCTCCACTACGCGGCCGCGGACACAAACTCCACAAAACCCCACATGTCCACCGCCGAGCTCTCCTCCATCGCCACCGCGCTCTCCTCTTGCTCCCCGGGGTGTAATTTCTTAATCTTCGGTTTGACCCATGAATCCCTCCTCTGGCGCGCCCTGAACCACGGCGGCACCACCGTGTTCCTGGACGAGAACGAGTACCAGGTCTCGAAATTCGAGCAATCGAACCCCGGAACAGAGGCGTACGACATCCAATTCACGACCAAAGTAACCCAGATGAAGGAGCTTCTAATTCTTGCAAAATTACAGGCCGATAAAGAGTGCAAACCCATCCAGAATCTCCTCTTCTCCGAATGCAAATTGGGCATCAACGATATGCCGAATCACATTTACCAAGTCCCATGGGACGTGATCCTGGTGGACGGACCCCGTGGCTACAGCCCCTCATCGCCGGGAAGAATGTCGGCGATCTTCACCGCCGGAGTGTTAGCGAGAAGCAAATTTGGGGAAGCGAATTCCAAAACCCATGTATTCGTTCACGAGATGGGTCGGGAAATTGAGCGGATATACAGCGACGAGTTTCTTTGCCCGGAAAATTTGGTGGAATCGGTGCATTCATTGGGGCATTTTGTGGTGGAGAACCCAATTCAGGGGAATGCCCCAACATTCTGTAAGAGTTCTTCCTCTCTGTGATGTAATTTCTTTCTATGATTATTGTGATTATATTTTTGTAAAAATTTCATAGGTTTTTTATTTTTATGTCGTGTGTTTATCTTAGGACATCCAAATATGATGTTGTATTATGTGTTCGAGAAAGATCAAGAAAATACTTGAACTATATTCAAGTTAACAATATTTTTTTTATTTTTTTTAATTTATCCTATTTTTCTTTAGAATTTTTTTAATGTATATTTTCACACATTCCTAAAAAGTGAAGTAGAAGGGCAAAATGGTAATTTAGTGGACTTAGGAAGATGGGGGGCTTTGCTAAAATACCGGATCGGTAATCGTCGGTGATGGAGAGGGTGGAAGTTCAGGGATAAGACGCCATTTTAAAAAAATTCCGAACCTCGAGAAGAAAATACTTAACAGTATTCTCACGCGATCTGATTTTCTGGTATGAAACGCGTTGGCTTATTAGTTTGAAAGTACACGTGGAATGGAATGATTGGTTGTTGGGGTTCACGTGGTTGTTTAGACGTGGGAATTGGAATTGAATAAATAGTACGGTAAACCGTGTCGGTGAGATAAATAAAGAAGTCCTTAACGGAATATTGAATGAATTCTCAAAATTATCTAATTTAATGTATTAATATAGAGAAGAAAAAAAAAACATATATTTATTGTAATTTCTTTTTAATCCAAACCATACTAATTAAATAATTAACCTAATCCAACTTAACCGCAAATTATTTTTAGGGCAGGTAGTTTTCGAATGGTTTGAATTATTTATTTATTTATTTTTAAATAAAAGTAAAACATTAAATCATAAAACATAACTCAATTTCAATATATATTTTTAAAAATTACCTTGAATCATAAGCGTGGTCGGAGAATAAATAATAAAAGTTATAAAATTAAATAAAAATAAAATAAGTGTATTTTTAAATAATTGTATGAACTTTTTCTTTATCTCTTTCATTATTTTTTAGATTAAAAAATGGAAAAAAAAAGGAAAGAAAAAGGTTTAGAAGCTCACTTTATTCCCTCCCTTCTCATTTGAAAAATTATTTTTAAAAATTGTTTGTTTTTGGAAAGTAGCACCTAACATTCCATGAATTATTCTCCATCACTTCATATAATTTTTTAATGATTAAACTAAAAAGATTTGAATTCTCAAAACACTTTTATATTTGTTTAATTTTGATGTTTTAATTTTTAAAGAGATGGTTTATAGATAAATAAATAATAATAAAATTAAAGAGATGGTTATTGTTCAAATCTCGAGAAATATGATCTATAAAATTCTATAAATTCTTAGTATGTTGTCAGATCATGTATGATTGAAGCTAGAATAAAAAAAAATAAATAATAAAAAGGTTGATGGATTGAGTTGGGTCGGTTTATGAGTTTCTTTAAAATTTATTTGGATTGCACCAAATCAATATAAACTTTTTTTTTTTTTGTTAATTTTAAAATTGAGATGAATGTTTGAAAATAAATAAATAAATGTTTTATATATTAACATTTTGCTTTTATTTAAAAATAAAAATTTGAATCAATGACACTATATGAGTCTGCTTGGTGGGTCCATGTGCGTGTGCATCATAGGTCATGTGTGAAGAATTTTCACACATCCAACTGTGTTCACTTTGAGTATAAGATCTTATGACTCTCTTTGGGCTCTCCAAAAAGCTTCATACGAATGGAGATGTATTACTTACCTATAAACTCATGATCATTTTCTAAATTAGCCCGACTCCTTCTCAACAATCCTCAACAAGACATGAAAAGTAAAGACATTATTCTCGTGTTAATTTTGGAGTTGTAATAATACCGTTGGAATGGCATATAAATACCCATCTTTTCATTCATTGTTTTAAGTAGTTAAAATTAATTAATTGTACTGTTTGAAGCATTTAAAGGTAGCCATTCATCATAAATAAATGCTTTTTTTAATTTTAAATGACAATAACTGTTCCATTTTTTTTAGTGGCTTCACAATATTTTGAACCGATTCAAAATTTCAGGATAGTTGGATAGATAGTAATCTAGATAGAGGTCACAATCCAACCCAATTCAGGCCTTAGTTGAGTTTGGTTGGGTTGTCGGGTTTGAACAGCAGGCAAATATCTTCATTACACATAGTTAATTTATTACTATTTCTATATCTTTGTAATTTATTTGATTATAAATAAAGAACTTTAACACGAAGGTGGAGTGATTTCAGCAAATATTGTCACATAATTTACAACACATAATTAATATCGGTTACAAACATAAAATATTCTTAATCTTAATAATTATCTTAAAAGCAAGGCAGAATGAGATTATTTTCGGGTTGGTCGGGTTGACCCGACAAAAAAATATCAACCATAAATTGACCTAAATTTTTTATTTTCCAAAAATTTAACCCAACCCAAATTGAAAAAAAATCTAACTCAACCCCAATTTTACGGTTTGGATTGGATAAATTCAGGTTGATCAAGTTCTCATGTCGTATGAACACTCCTACTAAGCATTAATATTAATTTTTTTTAACTTTCTTAAATTGAGATAATGAAAAAAAAGACGAACACATTGTCGAAATGAGTATATAGTTGATGTACGTTATTGTATTTATTATTGACGAAGACGTCAAAAGTTTAAATTTTCGTATTTCAAATAGTGTTGAATTAAACGAATAATTAAATTTATAATAATATGCTCCTAAGTTATATTATAGTTTTCGATAAAATTATAGTCATTAATGTTCCAATCTCATGAACGGACTTGAAGCCTAAAAACCAACTCAGGGTCCAATTCATACATACCGCAAATTCGACCAAAAGTTAAAGTTTGTTCAATCCAACTCGATCCAATTCATTTCATTCATTAGATTAGATACAAATCTAATATTATAAATAGAGCAACCCGTTGAGGTCATATTTAAACAATTCATCAAGTTGATCTAACAAGTCATAGAACTTAAATATGTACCGGTAACACCCAAAAGAAAATAATAAATATCTTATTATTTAAAACCCTATTCATACCTTTATGAAAAAAAATAGATTAGCATGGACCTATTTGTAATGATCCGAAATTTTCTATCACTATTGTATACGTACTATAAACATCGAATGTGTAAGACTTCATTTAAATTCCATAAAATATAACCTTGATCTTAAAACACACCATGGACTTACGTGTTTCGAAAACATCTTTAAAACGACACAACAAAACAATAAATAAAATAAACAAGCGTTTTAAAAACATTCTATTATAGTCTAAGTCTAAGAAAGTAAATACCACTATCCTATGCATATGCCGTGGTCTCGAGTTGCTATGTCGTCGTCAGCCGTACAGGAATGCCTTGCCTTAACTTGAAAAATGTAGTAGTACATGACTTAAATATTTAAAAAAATACTCAGTGAGTGATTTCACTATTGGGGTTAAATGCAAGAATATGAAAATGCAATGACGGGGCATATCATTTCAATCTATTTACCTACGGTACTAACATATCGGTTTACCGTAGTACTGTCCTAACAATGAGTTTTTTAAGAATTTCAAAAATACCTATTTAAAAAAAATAAAAATACAAATCCTTTAACATATCTGTGGAGCCGTAACAACGTTCAAATTTGTTTACAAATTTTAAGATATTAATTTACTTTTAAAAATTTATAAATATTTTTAAAACACGATGCTAGATATCTTGTACTCTATATTTTTAATTTTTTTTTAAAGTTATTAATAAAGGATATTTTTTAAACCTTCTAAAACAAAGTTATATATATATATATTACTACCAATTTTAAAAATTTGATAATATATTTTTTTTTAAAGATAAATAGAAAAGATACAATAATTTTATTAATTTAGTCTTAAATTTATTATTAATAAATTTGATTTTTCAACATATTGTTTGTTTCTTTTTCTATATAATTTGAATGTCATCTTGTTGTGGTGATCGGAAGTAAGGAATAAGATGGCCACACCCTCTCCTCTTCTCTTTCTCTCTCCTCTCATTTTCTTCTCTCTCTTCTCCACGCCGGCGACGCTCCGAGCCGACCCCCAACTCAAACACACCCACACTTTCTTTTCCTACTATTCTCATACCCCTCCACCGCCACCTCTTCCTTACTGTGCTACCCCTCCACCGCCGCCGCCCCCACCCCCTCCACTTGTCTGCCCCACCCCATCACCGCCTCCGCCACCGCCGCCATTTAGAAGCCCAAGGATCAAAATTGCATACAATGCGATTAAAAACTTGAGACCCAGAATCGAGGATGACCCAAATAAGATCACGAAGACATGGGAAGGGAGAGACGTTTGCAGCTACAAAGGATTCATCTGTGATAAAGTTCCCGATTTCAATACCGACGCGGTGGCCGGAGTGAGCTTCAACAACTTCCGCTTTGGTGGTTCTAATCTCACTCTCAATGGCTTCATTGATCAATTGCCCGACATCACTTTCTTCCATGCTAATTCTAATAACTTCACCGGTAGAGTCCCTGATCTCAGCTACAACCTTAGATTCTTCTACGAGCTCGATCTCAGCAACAATAAATTCGTCGGCGGGTTTCCCGACCAAGTCCTCGGCGCTACCAATCTCACATTCTTCGACATTCGGTTCAACGAATTTTACGGTCCCGTGCCCGCGAAGCTATTTGATATGGATATTATCACCGCTATCTTTCTCAACAATAACAAGTTTAATGGCGACATTCCGGCTAACCTCGGCAACACCCCGGCTAAGTATTTTGCCTCCATTTTTTTTTGTTCATACAAATTTTGTTTGTAATTAATTTTTATAACTAAATAGTTGAGAATTGTTGGGAGGGAGTAGTACGTTATGAGATATTTTGGAAAAGCCCGAAACAAAGTTATGAGAGTTTATGCTCAAAGTGAACAATATTATATACCATTGTGGAGAGTCTGATTTCTAATATAGTATCAGAGTCATGCCCTTAATTTAGCTATGTCAATACAATCCTCAAATGTCGAACAAAGAAGTTGTGAGCCTCAAACTTGTAGTCAAAAGTGACTCAAGTATCGAATAAAATGTGTACTTTGTTCAAGGACTCTAGAGAAGGAGTCGAGCCTCAATTAAGGGGAGACTGTTCGAGGGCTCCATAGGCCTCAGGAGAGGCTCTATAAAGCATCGTGATTCCTAATATCA